TAGGAAAATCAAGAGTTTGGCTCAAAATGTAATACTAACAATAAATTACAAGGTTGGTAGAAGTTTCAGGATCCAATCCTAAGATTAACCTGATGACTAAGTGGTGGCAGAAATGACATGGGAAGAAATATGTAAGACCCATAACACAACAGCACCTCCTTTTGAGCTGGTAGATTCTAAAGCTCATTTTTCCTTGCCTAAAAAATTTTTAATAGTTTCTACTACAGAAATTACTTCTAATTATTTACTTGCATGTATTCACGTATATGCTGTTACATAGTATTAGCAAATGTCAAGGCTAGTATAAGCAATCAAAATTATCTTAAAGGAAGTTAAAGGAGAGAGGCTGTTTCTCATCCAGTTACAGACCGAGGACATTTTAATGAATTCTCAGAAAGAGGCTAAGTGATAAATAGGCATCACACCAACCCCAAGTTGAATGGTCAAACTGCTGATGTTACAGCTCTGATGTCCAATTCCCCCACATTAATTATAACCAGGGTCAGTCAAGGTCATGTGGTGTGGCTGATTGCACTCCCAGAAGCAAAATTTGAGATCCAATTTCTCACTTGCCACAATTTGCATCATCCAGACATTTTATCCAAGGATCTGATGCTTCAAAGCTGGAACATTTTAGCTCAATTTACTTTTTGAGTTGGTTGCTAGAAAGTTAGGGCCAGATTTGTAGCCTAACATGCATTTTGTGTGCCAAGTTCACTCCTGGTTTAATATTGTTTTTCACTTCCCCTTTACCTAGAATCATCTTAATCCATGTAAACTTTATCATTGTGTGTGGCTCTTTAAGCCCTCTCTTAAGAATTTTTTGGGACAAGGCAATGAATAAAACAAACTTGAGATACATTTCACTATATATCACAGGCTAATTCAAGTCAAAGACCTCAGAGATTTAAAAAAGTGGTAATAGAGGGACACCTGGTTGGTTGGCTTTGCTGGTGAGCATGACTTTTGATCTCAAGGTCATGAGTTTGAGCCCCACAGTGGGTGTAGAGATTACTTAAAAAGTGGTAATAGGGTGAAATAGGTTAAGGGGATTAAGAGATACAAACTTCTAGTTATAAGTCATGAGGATATAATGTACAGCATACGGAATATAGCCAATAATATTGTAATAACTTTCTATAGTGACAGATGTTAACTAGACTTATTGTGGGGATTTTTAATGTTAAAAAAAAAGGTAACATTTCTTAGCAAATTCATATTGTCCCTAGGGCAAGATTCAACTTATAAAACTCTGAATTTGGAGAGTTAAAAGCAAATGAAAGATGGATTCAAACTGCCCCCAAATGAATGCTCCCAGAAGCTTCTAAAATTCCAGAAAGGTCCATCAAAAATGGAATCATTCAGATTAAAAAAAAAAAAAAGTCTGACTGGAAAGGTGCTTGGTCATGGCACATTATGGCATACAGGATAACCAGAGGTGGATTCTTTATTTCACAAGTTTCAAGATACAGTACAAAATGAATCTGTACATCTCTCTATTAACAGGATTTGTTTACACAATTATATTACACTTCACCAGCCTTTATACTGTATTTAATTAAATACAAAATAAATTTACAAAAAAGTCTACCATGGTGTTCCTTCCAATGCCAGCTTATGGTCTTTTTAAACTTCTCCTCAATATTGATAGTGGTTATACCTTGATCGTACTGACATTGATTTCTTTTTTTTTTAAATCAAAGAGACTAGTGTCAGCTTATCTGTCATTCCAGATAGGAAAAACGGTGCATGTGAGAGGCTTTCCTGCACATGACCAGGACATCCTCTCATGCACACAGAATTGGGAGTTCTGCTTCTGTAAATAGTCACTTTAAAATACAAATCATTTTTACTTGGGATATTTTAGGTTTTCTTGAAATACCAAGTGAAAGGAGAAATTTAGCTTCAAGGACTACACACATTTAAAAAATCAGGTAGTGGCTCAGACAATATGGTGTTCAGAAACTATATTTTTCATTTATATTGGAGAGCAATGACTGAGGAAAAAGATTTTCATGAAAACAGAAGTTTCTTTTACTTTATTTCTTGCATTCTTCTAGTCATACTATTGTGCAACACATATTAAATTCACTTCCAGAACAAATACTAGCTGTCGTCGGGGCAAAAGTCGCCCACATTGCTCTTCTTGGCAGGTAAAGGGGCTGTTTATCTGACACTGTTTGTTTTGAAATGTGCATGTGAAACATTAGTCCAAACCTCTGTAAAGGAAGTTTTTTGCAGATGGAGCTAGACGGTAATACACATGCTACACACATGAAGAGTTGTGGTCTCCATTTACAGGCTTGCATGCATACTTCCAAAACGCTGGTTTGAAGAACAAATGTAAGGAGCTAAGGAAGGAGGGAAAAATGAAGCCAAAAAAAAAAAAAAAAAAAAAATCCTATACAAAATACTTAAGTTTCCTGGAGGCAAAAGCAGCTCCTTAATTAAATAAAGCATCTGATCATGGTCAGATCACAGTTGAAGTTTCTACAACTTCCCAATGGTATAGAGCTAGAACAGCTTAGCAGTAAAACTTTCACAAATTAACCTTATATGTACAAGGGTAACAAATCCTCAAGCGTATTAAGGTAAATGATTCCAAAGTTAATCTCATTCAAGTGCTAAAATAATGAATTTTGGAAAAAAAAAGGCTTTTACTTTTTCTGTGCCACTGAATATTAACCAAAAATAAGATAAGCCTTACTCAGAAAACAGAAACAAAAATTTCAAATACAGAAAGAAAACAAAAAACCCAAACACCAATGCTACCTTTGTAACATAAAATAGAAGCAAACAGATGGTCTCAAGACTCTGAAAAGAGTTGACTAACCACAAACCAAACGCAGAGGAGACTATAAGCCAAGTACTACTGTCGTCACCTTCAAAGGCAGGAAGACAGGCCAAAGGGGTCAGGAGACAGGCTACCACAGAGAAATGAAGCTGCACTCAATCTGCTAACTCTAAATTCTAACATTAAAACTCCTGAATCCCGGAGTTAGTTTAATGTCACTGACATTAACTAGCTTTAGTTACTGTCATTTTATTCAAATGGATGCCATTTGATTAGGTAAGTATTGAGCATTATTTTAGGAGAAACACCAAACCCAGTTCCTACTTGCCTAGGTATTATGTCCCATGAACAGAGAAGAACAAGGGAGCAAAGTATTTTGAGACAGTTGTAAGGACTGAAGTCACAATGTCATAGAACGAAATTGTTTTAAATATACTGTTCAAATTTCCTGGAGCAAATGACCCAGGGGACAAGCAGGTGGTGGCAACAAGCCAGGAAGAGGCTATGTGGAATATCAGTAGTAAAAAGGACAGGGCAGGTAGTGGTAAACTAGCAGGAAGTTTGTTATTGCATGAAGAACACGACTGCGCCTTCCCATCTGGCTTTAGGTAGTGCACGCTGCTTTAGGAAATGTCTCTTCAAAGCACAAATGGAGGGAAGTAAAGCTAGAGATAAAAAATGTGGCTAAAGGAGAAATCAGGTGGATGGATGGTAGAGGGGGAGAAAGGGAAGTTCAGTCATCTTGGAGGGTTTTAAAACATTTAAATACATTAAGACAGTTCCTTCGAAATGAAACATGGCCGCTCCCGTGAACTCTACTCATCTTCGAAGGGTGGGGAGAAGTGGCAGTGGTGAAGACACCAACGTATTGTACCGACTGCACTCAAATCTCTCTCAGCGTAAGAGGTCAAACCCATCTTTCTATTTAAGAGCTGCCCAAAGCAACAGGACGCTCTGGAGGGTCAAACTTCCTACCTTCCGGATATGCTCTTATACATATGGTTCTGTGGCCACCTCTTCAAATTTGGAAGCAATTATGTGGGAGTAAAGTTTGCTTACCAGGTTTCTCATAATACTCTAAAACACACACAAAGAGCATACGACTTCACACTGAGAGCCTTCACGTTCATTACAGACTCATTAAATCTAGTTCTAAATATAATCCCAACTTCAAAATCCAAAGTCTTACAACTCTACAGGTAATAAGCTCTTCAAGTCTTCTGGCAGATGAGGGATTATGGAAAAAAGAGTAGAAAGGTTACTATAAAGACTGAGGTCAGGAGACATAGAAAGCCTGCTCAGATACTAACGTAGTCTCAGACTAGACATGGGCTGGTGAATACCACCATCTGACAATAAAAATACAAATTCAGTTTAAGTTTAAATTTCTTCATTTGCAGGATATGGGAAGTCCTCCATTTTCTTTGAATTGTTGCTGTGCTCCACACTATTTAACCAGGCGACTCTCAAGTGTCATAGCCTTGATTTTCCTACACTTACCAGTGGGAGGGTGGTGCACAGGATCACCAAGGAAGTGGCTGACTTTCTACTGTAAGAGAAAACTGCAGAAGTAAAAATCGACCTGAACAGTATAAACAGGCTTTGGCTTTCCTCAACCACTGAGTTTAACGCATCTTAGATTCTCTGAGTTTCAGTTTTATAATGGTAGTCACTGTATGTCACATCCTGGCAATAATATTTCAAATCTAAAGAATTCAGGAGGGTGAGATCTGTTCTTCTGCAGTAAGAAATGCAAAGTAAAATCCTGGGAACAAATGCTTCATCTTTCGGTAAAGTGTGTCTATCATCTCTGTACCCCACCCAGAGTTCTTTCATACGGTTTTCTAATTTCTCCCACTTAGTCCATCCTCTGGCTTCTGGATCAAGGCTCTGTATATTCAAAACAAACAAGCAGATTACACTGAGTAAGTGGGGGCAAATTCACATGTTAGCTCAAGGAGTCAGTTCACAATGTTTTATATATTCCATTCCAGAGAAGTGAAGTTCACATCAAACTCTTTAACACGCCTTTCAGTCTTTGAAGGAGAGACGAATGGTAGAAAGTATGACAATCACCAATAATCAGAAACCTCCCAGCCTTCCCTTTTAAAATAACCAATATGTTGAATATGTATACTTGCATGTGGATTGGTAAAAGTTTCTCAGTTATTGCAGTTCTGAAACGATCTGAAGACATTGTTTTTTGTTTTACTTAAAAGGCAAGTTCTATTTTCAGACTTTCAAACATGTTAAGGTTAAACTTGGAACTAACTTTTTTCCTTTTTACAGTGATCAGTTTTTAGTGTTGATGCACAAGACCTTAAAGGTGGTTGATAGAAGAACTTATGCATATTGAGAGAGTGACTGAAAGGACCCAAGAAAGACAGCTGGGTACGGCAGACATTGAGTGTCTCATATGTTTCCAGAAAAAAGGGGGGGGGGACCACTGAGAGTTGTTACTCCATACGGCACTGAAACAAACATTCAACTCAGTTTAGGTGAGAGTTACTTATCCCTGAAAATAAAGGCATCAGATTCTAAGCAGCTTTAGGAATTCAATGCTTCCTTGTGCCTCTTCCAGGAGGTGATCGCTGATCCGAAGTCCTAAATCCAATGCAAGTGTTCTCCGCAAACAATTTCCTTAGTTGTCACTGACCATGGCTGGACACAGTGGCTGTTACTGCGGTGGCTGCTGCTCTGGTGGCCCCTCCTGCTGTGGTGGCACCGGCCGGGGCCCCGGAGGCCTGGGGACAGGCATGTCTTGGTGCTGCCTCTGCCTGTAAGCTATAACTGTTCCCAAGAGCAGTGCGATGATGGTCATGAGGTAAAGGTCCCACTCAGGTCCCAAAAGCTGGTCCATGTCAAGTTGGGTGAACATATCTCGAATCTTAATGAGAATAATATAAAAATCATTATGATCACTAAATGTCAGAGAAGGAACTAGGAAAAAAGTTACATCGCAAATTAGAGATGAATACAGAACTTATTAATGTCATTGGTTTTAGGAACATTTTGCAATGCAATTAAAAAAAAATGGCTTTAGCCCTTTCTGCCCGTGGACGCCGCAGAGTAAGCATCGTTAAAGTCTCCCCCCCCCACACCGCCGTCATGTCTAAGTCAGAGTCTCCCAAAGAGCCTGAACAGCTGCAGAAGCTCTTCATCGGAGGTTTGAGCTTTGAAACAACCGATGAGAGTCTGAGGAGCCATTTTGAGCAATGGGGAACGCTTACGGACTGTGTGGTAATGGGAGATCCAAACACCAAGCGCTCCAGAGGCTTTGGGTTTGTCACGTATGCCACTGTGGAGGAGGTGGATGCAGCCATGAACGCAAGGCCACACAAGGTGGATGGAAGAGTTGTGGAACCAAAGAGGGCTGTCTCAAGAGAAGATTCTCAAAGACCTGGTGCCCACTTAACTGTGAAAAAGATTTTTGTTGGTGGCATTAAAGAAGACACTGAAGAACATCACCTAAGAGATTATTTTGAACAGTATGGGAAAATTGAAGTGACTGAGATCATGACTGACCGAGGCAGTGGCAAAAAGAGAGGTTTTGCTTTTGTAACATTTGATGACCATGACTCTGTAGACAAGACTGTCATTCAAAAATACCATACTGTGAATGGCCACAACTGTGAAGTAAGGAAAGCCCTATCTAAGCAAGAGATGGCTAGTGCTTCATCCAGCCAAAGAGGTCGAAGTGGTTCTGGAAACTTTGGTGGTGGTCGTGGAGGTGGTTTTGGTGGGAATGACAACTTTGGTCGTGGAGGGAACTTCAGTGGTCGAGGTGGCTTTGGTGGCAGTCGAGGTGGTGGTGGATATGGTGGCAGTGGGGATGGCTATAACGGATTTGGTAATGATGGAAGCAACTTTGGAGGTGGCGGAAGCTATAATGATTTTGGCAATTACAACAATCAATCCTCAAATTTTGGACCCATGAAAAGCTCTGGCCCCTATGGTGGTGGAGGCCAATACTTTGCCAAACCATGAAACCAAGGTGGCTATGGTGGTTCCAGCAGCAGCAGTAGCTATGGCAGTGGCAGAAGGTTTTAATTACTGCTAGGAAACAAAGCTTAGCAGGAGAGGAGAGCCAGAGAAGTGACAGGGAAGCTACAGGTTACAACAGATTTGTGAACTCAGCCAAGCACAGTGGTGGCAGGGCCTAGCTGCTACAAAGAAGACATATTTTAGACAATACTCATGTGTATGGGCAAAAAACTCGAGGACTGTATTTGTGACTAATTGTATAACAGGTTATTTTAGTTTCTGTTCTGTGGAAAGTGTAAAGCATTCCAACAAAGGGTTTTAATGTAGATTTTTTTTTTTTTGCACCCATGCTGTTGATTGCTAAATGTAATAGTCTGATCATGATGCTGAATAAATGTGTCTTTTTTTAAATGTGCTGTGTAAAGTTAGTCTACTCTGAAGCCATCTTGGTATACTACCCCAACAGTGTGAAGTTAGAATTCCTTCAGGGTGATGCCAGGTTCCATTCGAAATTGATTTGCAACCTGCTTGGGCACAGAAGCCATTGTCTCCACAAACCTTGGTGTAGTTGAACTGACAGTTAATGTGTTGTGACCTGGAGTTCACCATTAAAAGGGTCACCCAAGCAAAGCCCTGGAGTTTATTTGGTTATTAATATGATTGTTGGCACATCCTATGCAATATATCTAAATTGAATTATGGTATCAGATAAAATGATAGATGGGATTAAAGCTTGTGTATCATCCATTATCATGTGTAATCAATAAACGATTTAATATTCTCTTGAAAAAAAAAATGGCTTTAAAGCCTTCAACTGAAACTCAAAAAATAACAAGTCTCAGGAATTGAGTTTTGTTAACAGTAGGTGATACAAAGTGTCTAACAGTGTTCCTTTCCATCAGTAATCCAACCCACTCATTTCCTACCATTTTTCACGGAAAATACTTGCAAGGAATACTGGGGACAGTGGAGAGCCAAGGGGGGTAACGATCAGTATGTCGGCACGCCTGTCACCTAGTTGTGACGGCACACCCCCTGAGAAGCCCCATTCTAATGACAGTAGGGGATTTCACATCTTCTCTCATGTAACTGACGATGGAAGGAATTCCAACGTTTAATGGCTGAATGACTAATGCTTTTTAAATAGGATTTCATGAAATCTTTAACACCTGAATTGGAACTTTAAAGTTACATTCTTCGTCTATGATACTTTGTTTTAGTATCACTTAAGTCATTCCTGATATTTTCGGACTGCTACCTACCTACAAAGGAAATAAACATGGGGTATAATCCTTTATACTGAAATAAAGTTATATTTAAAATATCCCCATAATATATATTTGTAGGTACAGGTGCTAGATTTTTCTGGAAAAAGATTATAAGGAACTATTAACTGTGTTTCCTGGGGTGGGACCTGTGATAGGAGATTTTGTGTTTTCTGTACCGTCTGACTTTCTCACTCTTATCATTCTCTTTTTTAGTTGGAATATCTACGTGGTAGGATTATGGAGCATTTTATTGTCTTCTTTATACTTCTGTATTAAAAAAACAACAAAGATCGAATACTGCATGACCAAATCCTGGACTATAATCAGCAGTTTCTTAGTCCTACAAACTGTGAGAGACAAGGGTCTGCAATAGCCCTGACAGAAACAGTAGGCTGCCACGCTGTTAGCTTTTTAATTAAAGGAACAAGGATTGTTTTCATTACTGGAGGGTACAGCACGCCTGGTTCATGCTATCAAGCAACTATAAATTTGCCATTAAAAATGTATAAGCAATCGGGAGGACGGCGTCCGACACCTCCGGTCCTCCAGAGCACCACGCACGGAGGCCCTCAGCAGCACAGGATAGGGTTGCAGAAAGGAGCAGCATGGACTCCAGTTACATCTGTGTCACACAGGAGGAAAAGCCCGTTCTGGAATTGAAGGCTGAAATGGTGTATCAACCTGTCCTAAAAGATCTTAACAAAGGTTCAAATAGCCTATCCTGGTCTGGAGTGAATTCAAGTTAAATAGCCCTTGTTTCTGCATACGTTTTAGGACTTTTGGAGTTAAATACTTCATCAGTTAATCCATTATGAGGAAGTAGAGGTAAAGCAAATGTAAAACAGGAGAACCCAAGAGCACCTACCCAGAAATACAGGTAACTTAGGTCAGTAGTTTTGAAAGGAATAGGGAACCCACCTCTTATCTGGGTTCTACCATTAGCTTAATTAAGTAGTTCAGGTATTTTTACAGAACGAAGTTCTAGTGGTGTTTTAAACCAGCAGAAGAACCTGAAGTACAATAGCCTGGGCAGGTTCTCAGGTTCTACTTCTCCCCTTTTTAAAAATTCTCTTTTTAAGGGACTGGTCTGAGTCATTGCCGGGCAGTCATCTGATTTACTGTTTACTGAATTTAGTTTACTACTGTTTCAAATTGCCAAGTGTTGGTCTCAGTTTTCTCTAAACCAGAAGACACCTGCATCAATGAAAACTGCTTTAGCACCTGGAGCCACCATCCAATGCTACCTGGAAACGTACTGCTCTGTGGCTACCTTCACCCCACACCCAATGCAGTCTCTTGGCACTTCACCTGGGGGAAAAAGGGATAGGACCAGACACTGGCAGGACACTCCTCCCCTCTCCCCAAACTTTTTAGATACAAACCTCTGGACTGAGCAGCTTACATTATTTATATTTTAATTACAAGAGGCATGGAGGGTCACCTGGGAGGCTCAGTCAGTTAAGGGGCTAACTCTTGATTTCGGCTCAGGTCACAATCTCAGGGTCCTGGGCCTGAGCCCCACGTCAGGCTCCACACTCAACGGGGAGTCTGCCTGAGTTCTCTCCTTCTACCCCTCTCCCAATTCATGCATGCTATGCTAAAATAAATAAATCTTAAAAAAAAAAAAATGAGGCATGGAACACTTACATTTGTTTCCCGTATGTACTGCAAGAAATACACCACACCTAATTTGCATAGTGCTAGGAAGACTGGTACTTGTGCGTCTGGGCTGGCTTCAGCTGCCATGTCATAAAAACGTTTCGCAAGGTGAATATCCTAGAATATAGGCAATAAACCAAAATTCATCTCTTATTAAAATAAGTAAAATAATACTATTTAGCTTATACATTCGGATATCAGTTTATATATTTAGAACATTTATTTTACCTTTCAAGTTTTCATTTTAAAATTTCCCATACCTAAAGGAAAAACCCAACCTGCAATTGGGTAGTATTTCTTTAATTATCTAACTGCTTAATTTTGAAAAATTTTAAGATTTAGCTCATGTTCCTCCTGCCTGACGTCCCATTTGCTGTGCAGATATGCTGCATACAGCTGCATCCCTATGCATAACACAGGTCAATCTTAAGATTTCCGGGGGCTACCTATAAGTCTCATTTTTCTTAAAACTTCAGTCAGTATAAGCAATTTCTGGTTTCAGTTTGGAACAGTAATCTTCAAACCTAGTAACATGCTCATGATTTCTCAGAGGGTACTTGCATGGATAGTAAACCCATTCTGCGTTTCCCTGCCTTAGACTTATTTCTGTAAAAGGTGAAAGAAGTCATTATGAATTCTGGCCCAGACTGGAGTGTTCTGCATGCACATAAAAGCAGAACGGCACAGTGGGATGTTGTGAAATTTTCATTTTACAACCTCACGTTTTCCATGCCCTGACTATTGTCAAAGAACAACCAAACTCCAAGGAAAGAATTCCGTAAGACACGGGAAAGAAAGGTTAACATTAAAAAGGACTTTTTCCACATAGTTCAATATAAGCAGTTACTTTCAGCTGTTCCCTAAACTGTCGCTAAAGTGTGTCATTAGTTAAAAAGAAGGTTCTCTTCTGTTACTAACACTAAAAGTATAGTTAGTCTCGTTTTTAAAAAAGTGTAACAAGTTTTTTTTTGCACTGCCACATTTTTCAAGATCATGGATCAAACTTTATGTGATAACATCGACTTTTGTGTGGATGATTTAATAGGGTGATTAAATCTTATCAATTACATCCTGAATTATTTATTCCATATAATCAATCCTCATTTAATCCTTAATATTTTTCTAACTGTACTAGATGCTCAACCGAACAGTTTTTAGTAGTATGAATGCTTCTTTCTTTAAAAAATGGGAAGAAATAGGAAAAGGTGATCATAATGTCTTAGAAAAACTAATGGAATCATTCTGATTTTTATACATGATTAATTCTTCTTAAAAGTTGCATCCCATAGTTCCCTACCCCCATTCTTATCGAAGAAATACTATGCTTTTTATCATAGTCTTTAGTCATAAGAATTTATGTAAGCTATACATTATATTACAAATTAAATTATGAGAAGGCAGATTAATTTTCTCGGCTTCTAATCTATTACAAAAAGAATTCTGTTACTTTAATTTTGATTGCTTTTAGTAAATTATAACGAAGTGTATCCCATAAAAACCATAACTTATGCGCAATCTTTGTGCTAGTCATCAAACACATATTAATTTTATTTGAATTAAAAAGTGAAGTCAGACTTGCTGACAGAAGCAAAGTCTGATCTGGCTGACTGGTCTGACAACCAAGAGGGGCTTCGGTAACTTGATAACATGGCAGAATCTTCCCCAAGCTGAATGCACTCTGCCTGCAGTTCCAGAGTCTTGATAAAACTATATTCAAGTATCTAATATTAATATAAATGTAAAATATAAACATTTACATATGGGAATTAAAAAAATTAATATTCAAATGTGGTAAAATAAAAGGCACTTGGACCAAAAAATAGTGCATTAGCAAAATGAAAATGAACAACTTGCCCTTAAGCACATTAGGTCAATGAAGTATCTCTAAGTGACAGAGTAAGGAATATAATTAGTTATTTGATAAATCTTGGTAAAGCCTTTCGGCACTTCACCCAGGAACTGAGAAAGTGAATGACTCCAGTGACCAGGGAATAAATACATCTTTTGCAAGTCTCCAGTTTCCAACTCCTTGCTGTCAACAAGACTGAAGGGGGATCTAACTAAGTTGTCAGTGACAGATCACTGAAAATAATTTTAATGACAGATCACTCTGATTTTTGGCACATGTTATAGACTAAATGTTTGTGTCCCCCCTAAATTTCTTTGTGGAAACTCTACTCCCTCCTGTGATGATTGGGATTAGGAGGTGAGGTCCCTGAGAGGTTACCAGGATTAGATGAGGTTACAAGGGCAGAGCTCTCATGAATGGGATTAGCATCCTTAAAAGAGTCTCTAAGTGCTTGCTGCTCCTTTCCTGCTCTCTCCTCAGGTTAAGGACAAAAGCCAGAAGACAGCTCCCTCTGGCCCAGGAAGCAGGGCCTCACCAGACACCAAATCCACTGCCACCGTGTACTGCAACTTCTCAGTCTCTAGAACTGTGAGAAATTTTGTTATTTAAGCCATCCAATCTATGGCATTCTGTTATAGTAGCCCAAAAGAAGACAGCATGTAACTCTAAAGCAGTTTAAAGAATTAAGTGACCTTGCTATAAGATTCCTCCCATTTGTATATACTTGTTTACATGAACAAGATTCCAGTCATACATTTATAAAAATGAAATTAATGTTAAATCTACTCAATGATGCTTAAACTAATTTTTAAAAGATGCTCCATTCATCTCATTAAAAGATGCATTTTCAGTAATTACCACAAAAGTAAAACTTTTGTGAAATTTATAGTATTATGTTGATTTATTCATCACTGTATTGATAATTAACCAACTATGACTAATAATATCTCATGAGTTTTTCTTAACACTTAGAGCCTATAATCATAGGAAATAAAATTTAAAATTTGAGTTTAACATTGTTTCAGATAAGTATGATCGAAAGATCAGTAAAATAAGCATTAAAAACATTAGTATGTGATGCTATGGGAATAATGGACAGAAAATATGAATTCAGGAAGAAAAGGAAAAGATACTATTTTCATTTGATAAATTTGCTGTGTATTTAAAAAAATTAATAATGAGGGTATTAAAATTTTGGTATTTAGAGTAATTTAGTCATTTTTTATAAAGTGTTGGTGCTTAAAATAGCTAGAATTTAGACCCTTTGGAGTTTATGATGATAATTTTTAATGTCAAATTAAACATGTACAGGAGAACACACAGTTTTTCAAAATCCTCTTAAGGGCATAGAGGCAAAAACTTAAGACCATAGGTCTAAAGAATGTTAGACTGTATTAGGAAGGCAGAAGACTCAGAAATACATTTATCAGTAGCAAACGTCTTAATTTATTTTGAAATAATTTAGAAACAATAGAATTTGGCTGAAGATGGACAGATAGTTTTTCAAGCAAGGAGTTGCCGATCAAGGCAGCACTGCATTTCCATTTTAATGAATGTTTTTGGCTTACTATCTTAAATACAGCAGTGTGTGTTTGATGATGAAAGAGATGCAAGGATGGGCTTCTGAAATATTACAAAACTGTCTTATAACTTAGTACCTAAAATCTGAGCACATTCCAAAGAAAGCCTATTTTCTATAAAAATGTAGACGATTCCCCCAAATCAGTTACACCATGCAAACATTTGTTTTGAAGCCACACTCACCTGTTTAATGCCTAGTCCCTTCTCATGCATATATCCCAGATTAAACATAGCCTGTGCACTGTGTTGCTGCTCAGACGCTAGACGATAATGAATAAATGCGGTCTCGTAGTCTACGTCAGTGCCAAAGCCATAGAAATGGTAGTCTCCAAGCTTAATTCTAGCCACGGTATAGCCTTAAACAAAAATTAAATGCAGAACTGCCAATAAATCAAATGTGTTTAAAACAGACCAAACTATTATTTCTCCTCCTGTTTATATGCTTACATAAAACAGAATTTTAATTTGTAGTACATAAACTTTACAACTAATCCTTCAACCAAGCTATAAATTCAATAAAGACTTAAACTAGAGGTGTTGCTCTTCTGAGGAAGGCTTTGTTAATAGTCAGGGAGGGGTAAAACAAGGTGGGTAATAATCCCTACTTCATGATAATACTCTTCAAAATGAGCATGTTCTAATCTATCTGCCATTTACACTGTAAAGTAGTTCAACTGGACCACTGTTCGGGTTTGAAGAGGGACAGCCAGGCAATGTTGAAAGGAGTATGTGTGAGAAAGAAATACTCAAAGGGTAACTTTTAGACTAGTATTTTATTATATATTCTATTCGATTCTCATTTTACACAGAATATTGGCCTCACACTAAAAATCAAAGAGTAAACCATACATGATGTAAATGTCCAGTACAAAGACCTCACAATTCAATTTAGAAACCCGGAGACTAGAATTTCCATTTTAAAAATAAATAAATCATGATGCAAACAAGTTAAGCAATATTGTGGGTCTGCTTAATTTTAAGTTGATGAATGACATTACTTAGTTTTTTGTGGGAGATAAGAAAACAAAACGGAGACAGTAAAGAAAGGTCCCGGGGTGAAACTCTTCCCTAGAAGGCAGTGGCCACTCACCTTGCGAGGCGGCCCTGTTCCAGTGCAGCAAAGCTCTGGGGTAAGTCTCGTTCTCCCCCACAATGGTTGCTTCCCCTATGGGGAAGATGAAGTAAATACAAATCAAGCACTTAAGAAAGACAGGCACTAGACTCTTAGGGTTCATTTATAAGCCAGAGTGGCTATGTAGAACATCATTTAAACAAGAATTGGCATTATGGTGAATATTAAATGAAAAAAGCACTGTATTGACATTAAACCAATATTAGAATAAAATACCAAGTTCAAAGGAATCACTGCCTCTATCCAGGACACGCTACTTCCCTGCAACATGTTGTATCCACAGAACTAATAAGGAGACTAACTACTGAGCTGCTTCTACGGACTACGTACTGCTGGAAAAACCATGTTGTTGTATCTGATTTTGGAAGACGGATTTGTGAAACGAACGGCAAATCGATTTCTACTGTCAACTCTAACATATAACACTAACTTGGCTGGCTTAGGGAGCTGAGGAAGTTACTCACGTGTTGTTAAGGTCAATTTACAACAATAAAGAAGTTTCTTTGTGGCTTTTCGCTTTAAGCATGAACAGGTGACCCAACGTGAGCCTCTGTATTCTAAAGGCAAGGCAGAATGGCAGTGAACCTTACTCTGATCGAGAATGAAGGCTGCATTGCTCTGTGCCACCTCATAGCCCTGTTCGGCCAGCAGGAGGTATTGGATCATGGCGGCGTCGTAGTCGCCGTCCTTATAGCTGTTATAGGCCATCATAAGCCTCTCGGACCAGCGGCCTCGTTCACAGACGTTCTTAAACAACTGTGAGAACAGGAGGAAAAAAACCCCGTAACAAAGTAAGGAACGTATGCCAGAAAATCAGTTTTGCACTTCGGCTATAAGTGACTGTGAGGCTACCTCTCTGCATTGCTGGTAGCTTTATTACATACATACACAAGTCTGGGATTTTATTTGAAGTTTTCACTCAGTCTTTAGAAGAGGTTTATAAAAATAATAGTAAACAATTATATATCATTACCCTTGCCAGGCACTGTTCTAGCGCTTGCTTTATGTACAGTAGGTACGGAGTTTCCCTTAGAGCTCCCATGAGGTCATGGGGGCCACTCCATGAGGTAAGTCCTATTAAGTGCCCCGTTTCACAACCAAGGAAACTGAAGTACAGAGCAGTTTGGAAATTGTGCCAAGCATTCATCAAATGCCACTCGGAAGTGCCAGTTATGAAAGAGCTAAAAGGAAAAGTTCCCTCTGGGAGACATCAGCATTCCCTTTTACAACATTCATTCAACTTTTTTGGTGGTGTTTCAGATGCTTTCTAGGTGCTAAAGAGACTGCAGACAGCACCACCTGTCCTTAGAGGTGCAGATTCTAGTGGGGAGAGACACATGAGATAAAGAAGCATGACAGTGACACACAGGCCCTGAGTCTTCCCTCAGTGTATCAAAACTAATAGGTCGAGTCTGTTTCTACTTGAGAAAAAATCATGCAAAGAAAAGCAGAATTAAAACGACAGATTTTCCTCTTGAGAAAATCCATTTCCCGTGTACAAGTCAGGAGAAAAGCCCTTACCTCCACTGCAGTGTGACACGATCGCATCACACCTGTGCCGCTGGCGTGCATCTGGGCTAGGTTATAGAAAGCCAAGATGTGGCCTCCCTGAGAAGCTAAATTAAAATACTTCAAGGCCTGTTTATAATCCCTCTTGACTCCAATGCCATCTGTAAGGAAAATCACACGAAAGGTCAGAAACAGTCTTAAAGAAGATTTAGCTGAAGCACCAGAGAAAGCTTAAATAATGGGTAAAATCAAATGAAATTCAGAATTCTTACTCAGGAAAGATGTGAATCCTACTAATGCAGATTAGTATATTAATACAGATTAACATAATTTACAATGAAAAACAAGATGCACAAATCATTGAATTGGGAGAATATTAATCAGCCAGAATGCTCTCATTGATCACAATGGCATCTGGTGGAAAATTAGTAATTTAGATGTCGGTGTACACAGTGTTTAATGCCAACGTTACTTACTATAGTACATAGAGCCAAGCTGCAGTTGCCCATCCACCCAGCCTTGTTCAGCAGCTTTCTGGAAATACTTTAGTGCCAGATCATAATTCTGTAGGAAAAGAGATCACATAGTCACATAAGAAAACTCAAAAGGTTGATATACTCAGAAGTTAGTCATTCATTAAAAAGAGTTAAAAAAACACATATAAGATATTCTCAAAGAGCCATTAAAAAGACTACCTTCTAATTTTTTTATAATATACAGATGGTAGTCTATGTCACAGAGGGGTTAATATATTTAAGACTGTGAACAATCTGTATGTTCACTCTCAGAAAGCCTACACAACGCTAGTTCTGGTTCTTTGGAGAAACCTTGGAACACAAGACCAGGACTTAAGAAACACTCCTATCTTTCCTATTAACCAACAAATCTTTTTTAAACTTCAATTTTTATAACATTAAAAAAGGAAAATTATTTTCTCCTTATTCATTCTTTCCCTGTGTAGCTTATCAAGCACTATTATTAGATTTCAAATATAACTATCCTCAGAGAAAAATGAAAACAAAGACCACTACTGAATTTTAGTGTCCTAAAATGACTAGAAGGAAATCACCATGAGAACACACTACTGTCTTCTGTGCTAGGGAACACCTACGGATTGGAATCCTAAACCTAAGTCTTCATTTCAGGCCCAAATTAAATACATTTTACTTAGATCATACAGAGAAGAGGGCAGCAATGAGAATCTTGGGGCATCTAACACGAGGAAGTAGTACAGAAGAATGAGAAGCAGTGGCCTAGGAAAACCAAGAGAACTTGCAGAATTCCAGGGAAGAAAGAGTTCAAGTTACATAGAACCAACAAGTCAACAGGAGTTGACATTTGGGAAATTACTGGTGACCTGCATAGAGCAGTTACATGAGGCAGAAGCCTGACTGCTGAGACCCGAAGAGTGAGTGGTAGCCACTACTATAGTTCATTCTTTGGAGAAACCTGGCTTTGTAGTGACAGACTGGAGAGAAGAGAGGTAGTAGCTAGAAGGGCAAAGAATAGAACAGAAAGCTTTTCTCCTTCTAAATGGGAGGGATAAACATTTTCTTAGGCTCCAGTGAAGAAGTAGGGAGGGAGGAGTCCTAGAGAGATAGAAGCATAGGTAGGGTGGAGAGCGCAGACAGAATGAGAACTAGCTTCACATCTTTAGCAGAAGTGTCAGAGACAGAGCCATTCGAAGAAGGCAGTTAGTACGGAGGGTGCTGGGTACTCAGAGAACAGGAAAAGGTTCAGCTCTGGACATAAAGGAAGGATTTCACCTGGGCTGGAAGCCAGCTAGTTATACTTCCCTACCTCACCAGCTGACTGCTTGTTTAAGTCAGAATGTTAGACTGAAAACTTACAACTTGAACTCCTCTCCCATAGAGGTAAGCCATTCCGAGTCCACTCTGTCCGACTGGGTTGCCCTGCAAACCAGAGACAAAAGAGTGAAAGGATTCATTAAAAAAAAAAAAAAAAAAAAAACAGCCAAGAATAAATGACTACCCAAGAAGTTTTAAGCATATTCAAAAAATGTCTTTGCATTTTTTCAATTCAAAATTCTCCTTCCCAGCAGGCTAAATGTAATACTGACTTTCAGAGATTTGGGGGTCTTCAGTAATTTGCTGAAAAAGAGGAAACAGTACATTTATCTAGAATTAAATTTTGGTGACTTACCTTACAACCATCTGTTCCATGAGTTTATGACAGAACACATGACAAATGTATTTCTTCTCTTAAAATTAAAAGTAGGTCACTTTTTGGGTAGTTTTTCATTGGTAACCTCCCTCCCCAATAAAGAAGGAAGATGCCATGGTGGAAAGTCAACCACCATGTAAAACAGCAATATTGGGATCAGGTGGCAAAATACAGTTATGATTACTGAAGTGTCACGGAACAAAGATAATCATTGTTTTGAGACCTGAAAGAGAAAAATCTAAAATTCAACCTAAACTCGGACGGACAGGGGCATCTTTTAAAAAGTGTCACAGCATTCCCTTGGGAAATACTCAACTGACATTTGGAACTAAAGTAGTATGTAGCTGGCAAGGAGATAAGCATACACACTGGAGGCATACAGGCTCTTAAATATTCATATGTAGTTTTCTCTGGGCCAAAGAAAGCCTAAGTTTTATATTTATGATTATCGAAAGTACCCAGTTATGTAAGTTTTAAACCCCAAGTTGCAAAACAAATAGGGCAAATTATTTTAACTCTCAATTGTATTACTAAAATCAGTATTTCCCTGATGAGGAAACTTCTCAATGAAATTGAAACAGAGGCTTAATATTCAATAATTTGCCCCCCACCAAATAAATTACTTTTTACTGGAAAGTTTTTTGTTTTTTAAGATTTTATTTATTTATTTGAGAGAGAGAATGAGATAGTATGAGCATGAGAGGGGGAGGGTCAGAGGGAGAAGCAGACTCCCTGCTGAGCAGGGAGCCCGATGTGGGACTTGATCCCGGGACTCCAGGATCATGACCTGAGCCGAAGGCAGTTGCTTAACTAACTGAGCCACCCAGGCGCCCCTGGAAAGTTTTTTTTTCTAGCCAGTCCATTCCCATGAATCACATTTACCTAAGTGCTTTCAATAATTTGAGGCATGAGTTGGTTAAGACTAATCTTTCAGTATAATAGACTTATTTATTAAAATAATAATAATATGGCACACATTTCAATATACTGAATCATGAGGTCTTACCATGTCAGCAGCTTTCTTAAAATAGTGAAGAGCTGTCTCATTACTCTGTGGTACAATATCACTTCCCTCTGAATACATCTGGAAAACAGAGCCTAATTTTATTAAACGCTATATTCCTCTCACCTATAATGTATTTCTATCTCATCTCATTCTGGTTTTTGTTAGATATCATGAAATCTTTGAACAGTTTAAAATTCCCCATAGGATATTTTAGATTTAAAAGCAAAACCCTAAAAGTAAACAATATTATTGTATCTTCTTTGTCATAACAAATTTATGACTTTTTTACAAACATGAATATATTAAAATCAGTTCACAGATCAGTCTCAGGGGAGAAAACCTTTACTCAAGGTGATCTTCTCTCTCACTCTATCCCAGGACAGTCAAATGGTTGTTGAGTTGCTTGGGGTCAGTGACTACACAAGAGAAAGGGGTGCTGTTGGCAACGCCCACTTCCCTCTTCCACCATGACTTCCCTCAGGGTAAGATACAGGGTAGGTCTTACGTTCAGGAAAAGAAATAACTAAAAGGTTATTTTAAAAGGTTTCAAGCACTGAATGATTAGAGTACCAGGTACAGAACATGATAAAACGGCCAAGAGAAAGAACAGAATGACAGACTGTTTTCATTCACGTATACATTAAGAAAACGGAAATGGAAATCTTTTTTTGAGATAGGGTTAATTAGGAATTCAGAGCAAGAACTGAAAGGGCTAGAATGGAAAGTTCTTAAAAGCTTAACAAAAATAGATGGGGAATACTAATTTCGATGCTGTAATAGTTGGGATGTCTACATGTACGGTTCTCAGGCCCCAAATAACTGGTCGTGATTATATGGCAAATACTGATGAGATTTTTTTCTATTTGTAAGAACCTTTGTGACAGATTTATTCTACCTAAGCATCCTAACCTTAGGATTTGGTAATGGATGAAAATATCCACTGATGTATACTGTATTTGTTTTCAAAATAATGAAAAAGGAAGTTCTGAAACAGTGCCATGTCACATGGAATCTACTTGTTACGTCTCCAGACTTTGGTGTTTCCTTGCTTAGAAAAGAACCACACTGACAGGTGAGTGATAGCTGTCACACTGAGGATGATTAAAGCCTGCAGACAAATGGTGACAAACTCTAGTGGCCTCTACTCAGCACGGAAGAAAACAGGCAATTATCACAGACTTAGCAAAAAAAAACAAACTGCACAGCAAAAAGAAAAAATCCCTCATTATTGTGTATGATACACACAAAGTAGGAGCTCAGTGATAGCTAATTTCAACAGAAAATTAACATACTGATGAGGAAATGCTGTTTCCCTTACGTTACCTAAGAAAATGCCTCGAAATCACTTACCTTACCACAAGACACAATATCCTTGTATTGGAAATTTTATTTCCAGTTTATTTTTGGTAAACTGTAGATTGTAACTACAACATGTGCTTATTTTTTTTTTAAGATTTATGAAAAATCGAAAAAAATTTTATTTTTGTTGTTTTTGTTTTTTTATTATGTTAGTCACCATAAAGTACATCATTAGTTTTTGATGTAGTGTTCCATGATTCATTGTTTGTGTGTAACACCCAGTACTCCATGCAATACGTGCCCTCCTTAATACCCATTCCCGGGCTCACCCATCCCCCCACCCCTCTGCCCTCTAAAACCCTCAGTTTGTTTCTTGGAGTTCTTATTCTCTCATGGTTCGTCTCCCCCTCCGATTTCCCCCCCTTCATTTTTCCCTTCCTTCTCCTAATGTCCTCCGTGCTATTAATACCTTATGTTCCACATATATGTGGAACCATACAATTGACTTTCTCTGCTTGACTTATTTCACTTAGCATAATCTTCCTCTAGTCCCATCCATGTTGATGCAAAAGTTGGGTATTCATCCTTTCTGATGGCTGAGTAATATTCCATTGTATATATGGACCACATCTTCTTTATCCATTCATCTGTTGAAGGGCATCTCGGCTCTTTCCACAGTTTGGTTATTGTGGATATTGCTGCTATGAACACTGGGGTGTATATGGCCCTTCTTTTCACTACATGTGTCTTTGGGGTAAATATTCAGTAGTGCAATTGCTGAATCATAGGATAGCTCTATTTTTAATTTTTGGGGGCACCTCCACACTTTCCAAAGTGGCTGTACCAACTTACATTCCCATCAACAGTGTAAGAGGGTTCCCCTTTCTCCACAACCTCTCCAACATTTGTTGTTTCTTGCCTTGTCAATTTTTGCCATTCTAACTGGTGTAAGGTGGTATTTCAATGTGGTTTTGATTTGAATTTCCCTGATGGCTAATGGTGATGAACATTTTTTCATGTGTCTGTTAGCCAATTGTATGTCTTCTTTAAGGAAGTGTCTATTCATGTCTTCTGCCCATTTTTTGACTTGATTATTTGTTTTTTGGGGGCTGAGTTTGACAACATGTGCTTATTATGCAAACACCACTTGCTATTATGTAATACATTCACAGAACATACAGTACCTTTCCCAAGAAGGCCATCGCATGTGAATTGCCAGCATTAGCTGCTAAATTGAAGTAGTCAAATGCTCTCTGTGAGAAAAGAATTTATTAAAATAGTTTTAAAAAAATAAAATAATTAGTTTTTACAGAATCTGCCTTTGGCTCTTAACCAAACTAATCATTTCGGAACATTTAAAAAATCTTGTAATATGGCAGTATCTCAGTTTAAATAGCAGCATGACATCTCTTGGTTGCTCAAGGTACCCACCCCTCTTCACGCCCAATCCATCACTGAATCCTGTAACTTTAATCACCAAATTCCACCTGAATCCACCCATGATCCTCCACGACCACAATTCTAGGCTAAGCTATATTATCTCGCACCCGAACTTCTGGAACACGCCCCTCCTTGGTCTCCTGCCTTTAGTTTTCAGTCACCCAAAGCAACAGTTCAAAACACTTAATATGCTGGTCCTTACAGCCCCCTGAAGTCTTGCAGCGGCTATACTGGCGTGATCAGACACTGCTTACCTCAGTACGTTCAGCTTGCTTTCTGCACTCTGGTCCTTCCTGCCTCAGTACCTACACACATACCACTCTTTCTGGCCTGGAATGATCCAGGCTCGACTTAAATGTCATCCATTTCTCCTCAGAGACAACTGCCACCTCCCACTTATTAACCTGTTACTGGACCCTTTCATTCTCCTTAATAACAATAATCACAATTTATTACATGTTTGTTGGTGTGATTATTTAAAAAAATACCTAATATTCTAGTTCTATTAAACTTGATGCTCTGTAAGGACAAAAAGACCAAAGCTATTTTGTCTAGCATTGTATTCTGAATGCCTAGCAGTGAATAGGCACATAATAGGCACATGAACTACTGATGAATTAATGCAGTTATATACTGGGAACTCCTTTTATTCCTTCTGAGAAGCTGGTGAAAAAATTTATTGTTGTGTAGGTATTTCACAAGTAAGCAGCATACACCAAGGATATCCCAAAACTTGTATAAAAGGTATGCAGCAAACTTATCATCTGGAATTGTTATCTCACCTGACATTTTTATTAGCCAGTTCATCTGGCCTAATGACATACATTTGAATGACCTAAAGACAATGAAAGCAGTCAAAATGCCATCTGAATTAAAAAAAACAAACAAACCATGGGTATTTGGTATAGTTTTAAGTGACAAGTGTATTTTGTTATGATCTACTTAAAGTTGATGGGATATGGAAATGAAATAACCTTAATTAGAATATTTAACTGTTATGGCAGAATAACAGTTTTATTAGTCTGACAAACATTTATCAAGAACTCATTATGTGCTAGGCATAGTCAGGTGCTGGGAATAAACTGGCAAAGTCTGTGGTCTTTTGCAACTTAAGTTCTAGCAGAGGAAAAAACTTAATTACATATTTAGCAAATTTACAATGGGTAAGGGCCATAAATACAGATTTTCAGAAATTTTAACTGTGGTGCATGACCTATTCCTGGAGTGGGGTTAGGAGACTAGAGAAACATTTTAGGGGAAGAGATTGGAGATGAATTCTGGAGGATGAGTAGGAATTAGCTATGTAAAGAAAGGAGGTGGGATAATATTCACTCTAGACAGAGGGACTAGCATTCCAGAAATCCTGAGATAGTTTCTTCATATTTTCAAAGACCTGAGAAAAGGTAAATGTGCCTGTGAGTCAGAAAGCAAAGGGCTGGTAAAGGAAACAGAGACTGGTACAAATCCTGGAAATCATGTTAAATAAAGGTTTTGGTTTTTAAGCGACTGATAATCATGGACCACTCGAGTTTTAAGCAAGGGAACCACAGAATTAGGTGTGTGGTTTACAAACATAGGCTACTGCTTAGGAAATGCAAGCAGGAGATGACTCATACAAGTGGCAGGTGTACTGATGGATACAAGGGAAGAGAGGAGCAAGATTTAGGGCATAAAGCACACAAAAGCTGGGTACAGATCTGACTGCTATACTTGTATACTAATTTCTCACAAACTCAACAATGACTTTTCCTGGGTTCTATGAAATTTTTTTTTCCAAAGATTTTATTTATTTATTCATGGGGGGGAGGGAGAATCAGGCTCCCCATGGAGCAGGGAGCCGGATACGAGGCTTGATCCCAGGACCCTGGAATCATGACCTGCGCCAAAGGCAGACACTTAACCGACTGAGCCACCCAGGCACCCCTGAAATATTTTCTAATAGGAGTTTTAAGACATACTTCTACTACATAACCACAGGAAACCAAGATACTGTGTATGTATTTTTGGCAATATTGAGAACTAGGTTTCAGAATTTAAAAAACCCTTCCCACAACTATGAGGTATAATCACATTTTTAGTCTTCAGTTTTCTCAGGGGTTAGATGGATCTTGAAAGATCATTTGTGATGATTGTCTAAGTAACATGAACTTGATATTGTCATTGATAAGAAATACATCTAGAGCACTGTTTCCTTCTACAACGTGAAGTACAAAGCCCTGGGAACAAGAAAGTTACCTGATGATTTTGTTCTACTCCACGCCCTCCGTGCAGATGCAGTTGTCCCAGACCAACCTGAAAATTAACAAAAATGAGCAAAAGTAAATGGTAGCATCTGGTGTCATTAAATTAGACAAGTAAGAAATCATTTGTCATAAAAAGGCTTCTCTTCAGAATTCAAAAAAGTGAAGACTTAAGTCTTAACTCCTGAAGATGTTACTCTACTTAAACCTACATTATTTAAAAACTGAAAATGCCTGCTTTTAATTACAAGATATCTTTCTGAAATAAAGATGAAATAAAGGCAATTTCAGGCAAACCAAAACCGAATTTGTCACCAATGAACTCACTCTGAAGGAAATGCTAAAGGATTTTTTTTTTTTAAAGATTTTATTTATTTATTTGACAGACAGAGACACAGTGAGAGAGGGAACACAGCAGGGGGAGTGGGAGGGGGAGAAGCAGGCTTCCTGCCAAGCAGGGAGCCTGATGTGGGGCTCAATCCCAGGACCCTGGGATCATGACTTGAGCTGAAGGCAGATGCTTAACGACTGAGCCACCCAGGAGCCCCTTAAAGGATGTTCTTTAGGAGGAAGGAAAATTTTCCTGGGAGGCCTGGCAGTAAGAAATAAAGAGGAATGGAAAGTTAAACTTATAGGGGGTGTCTGGGTGGCTCAGTCGTTAAGCATCTGCCTTCGGCTCAGGTCATGATCCCAAGGTCCTGGGATCGAGCCCTGCATCAGGCTAGGCAGGAAGCCTGCTTCTCCCTCTCCCACTCCCCCTGCTTGTGTTCCCTCTCTCGCTGTCTCTCTGTGTCAAATAAATAAATAAAATCTTTAAAAAAAAACAAGTTAAACTTATGAATAAATCTAATTATATGGACTGTATACAAGAATAATATCTTGCAGGATCCAAAAATATATAGAATTAAAACACATACAGAGTACTCTAAAGTTTGCATTGTCCAAGAAATGGTAAAAGTGCTCATTCATATTAGACTTTGATAAAAGAGTAGTAAAAACAAAGTCCAGCTATCATCTTAGTAGAGGGGAGGAGGTACAACAGCAAAAACATTGAAACCAAGAGAACGTAAGAAAAGAGACATAAAGAAGCATGGAAAAGCAAAATGAAAGAAAGCAAGCAACACAGAAAATGTAAACACAAATATTCATTACTTTCAATTAAAAGACTGTCAGAATGGATAAAAAAAATAACAAGTAGTCTGATGATGCTTCCAAGAGACATACCTTAAACATAAGAGGTGAATACAAAAGATAGAAAAGATATTCCATGTAAATACTAACCAAAAGAAAGTGGCATAGCTGGCTAGTACCAAAGTACAATTTAAAACAAAAAACATTTCTGGAGATAAAATGATATACAAGCTAATTTAACAAAAAGATAACAGTATTAAGTCTATATGCACTCGACATGGCCTAGAATACATAAATCAAAATTGACAGAAATAGAAGAAGACAGAGACATATGCACACCAAGGGGGGGCAATTTAAACAATACTGTCTCAGCACTGGACAGAAAAAGCAGACAAATTCAGTAAGGATTCACAAGATTTGAACAACAGGATTAAGAAACATAACTCAATTGACACATAAAGAACACTATACCAAAAGACTGTAAAATTTATATTCTCTTTAGCACACGAAATTTGCCCAAACAATGGATCATAAAGTGAGTCTCAGGAAATCCCAAACGAAATCATACATAGCATATTCTTATTTTATTTAGATGCAGGCTCCCCGCTGAGCAAGGAGCCCATCATGGGGCTCAATCCCAGGACCCTGGGATCATGACCTGAGCTGAAGGCAGATGCTTAACCGACTGAGCCACCCAGGCACCCCAGACAGAGAAATCTTAAGCAGATTCTGCAATGAGCGTGAAGCCCAACACAGCGCTTGATCTCACAATCTGAGCAAAAACCAGGAGTCAGATGCTTAATTGACTGTGCCTCCCAGGTGTCCCATACAGAGAATATTCTGACCACAGTGGATTAAGCTAGAAATCAACACAAAGAGTAAGTAATAAATCCCCCATTTATATGAAAACTAAGCAATGCACTTCTAAAATTACACATGGGTCAGAAATCACAATGAATATTAGAGCTAAATATCATGAAAACTATGACAACAGGGAAATGTATTCTACCACATATCAAGATTTATAAAGTTATAGAAATTTAAGACAGTACTGATGCACAAGACATGCAAGAGAATATGCACAGAGCATTATTTGCAATCGCCCATATCTGGGAAGAGTAAAATGGGTAAATAAGTTGTGGGATTTTTATACAATGAAATACCATAGGGCAATGTAAATGAATGAATTTCAGCTACATGAAAACACATGGATTGATTTCATAAACATAATGCTGAGCAAAAGAAGCTGATACCAAAAAGTGCTGTATGATTTTTTTTTTTTAACGTAAAATTCAAAACCAGGCCAAACCGATCCATACTGTTAGAAGTCAGCTCTGAGGGAAACCCACTGAGGGCAGGGGGCCTGCTGCTGGGATGCTAGCTACGCTTCACAGGAGGCTCACCTGGTGCTCCATCAGGGGGCTGTAGGCTTCCGATTTATGTACTTTTCTGTATTAAGGTTGTAATTCGAGTAGCAAAAAGAACAAAATGACATACTATACCACATACGGATTTTTGTAGCTTGAGTTTTCCACTGAATACACTAAAGTCAGCTTTCCACAGTAAGTAGTATTCTACATAATTTTTAATGGTTGCATAAAATTCCATACATGGAAGTGTCGTAATTGAGCTAAATAATTCCCTATTTTGGGGCTTTTAGATAGTTTTGAATTTTAACTGGCCTCTGATATAAAAGAAAGATGTTTAATTAGACAAGATAACTTTATTAAAATTTCTATGAGCTAAGATTTGGATCTTTCACTACCTTTTTTTTTTTTTTTAAACATAAGATGCCCTTCTGTTAAGTCTTAAAATCAATTGTTCTCAAAAAGTATCTAATACTCATGTCTCTATGTGTCTAAATCAGAAAAGACCTGTAAACTGCATGGAAAAAAAGGCAGATGTTGAAGTCCTCTTTTTTATTTCAGGATTATCAAATAACCCATGAAATAACAAATTATACATGGTACTTTGATGGATATACCATACAATTTACATTGAACAAGGTTACTTCTGTCCTTGACCTTGAGGAAATTATGGTCTAAGATGAACAAAGGAAACATGAACAGTAAATGGCTCTAAAGGGCATCTGAAGTTCCAAATGTTCCAGAGATTTTTTGTTGAAAGAAAGTGGCAGTTTTCATCCTTGGTGACTCCAATAAGAGCCTTCATCATCAAGACACTGCTCTGTTCAAGCAGTGGTTTCCAACCATGGTGCAATCACCTGGCCAGCTTCTATGAACTATCAATGCCTAGGCTACATCCTTGATGCATTCAAATGGAAATGTCTTCACAGTATGAGACTCTCGGTACTTTTAAAAATAATGCTACTCAGGTGATTCTAATATGTAGTTAATATGGCTCAGAGCAATGGAAACGTTTTTTAGGGAGGTAAGAGTTTGCCCCACAACTGTTACAATGCAGTGACACACGCCCTGAGATGTTAAACACATACCTGTGCTTGTACATCACCTTTTTCTGCTAGGAACTGATAGTATTGAATCAAATCTTCTTCCAGCATCCCACTATTCATTCCTGGATTTTCCACCTCGTCGGGCAGCCGTATTCTCTGTACTACTGAGCCTCCTGTCAGCGAGATATCACTAGCAACTAAACAGGGTAATGAAGTAATAACATGGAGGAAGGTCAGAAGGATTGTTCCACAGAAGGAAGTAGAATTTCAGCTGCCAAACACTGACAGACACTATGCTAACAGTAATCTAAAGATTACAAAATAGTAATCTATACAGACCCAGTGTTTTCCACAAGATATTTAATAAGTGGAATCCAAAGTGTACACGTACGCGTGTGCGCGCGCACACAGGCACAAAGGAGATCTTAGTCAACTAGTGTAAAGATCATCCCACTTAAGAGAGTCGATCATGATTATTTCAAGTAGTACAACAAAAACAGATGTATTTGAAATTAATTCCATACTGTTTTTTTATTTCTTTTGATAAGGTGAAAGGCAAAAAAAATAGATACCATGATTGGCAACAAGACGATAGTGAGTCAGTGCCGATTCGCAACTCTGGAGGACTCCGATGCCAGCCCAGTACCGATAACCCTGTGAGACAAGCTCCAGTGAGAAGACTGCAGGTTCACACGCTTCACTGGCAATCTTGCCGGAATGAATGAAGCCACCCACGCTCAGAACGTACTTCTGCAGTCCCTTGATCCCAGTATATTACCACCTCGTTTATCCTGAGTTTTACGTTCTGAGGTAATTTATTCAGCAACTCCAAAAACCAGACTATAGGTAAGAACTAGGAAATAATGAAGTTCCCAAAGAAATCAAAATAGATGCCGTGAACTTTATGGATGAAGTGTGCGCATCTCACGTGTAAGAGAAAATTACTTAGGTTCTTGCTTAGAACACATTCTAATCTTATTTTAAACCTGATTTTAACAAAAATGGGTTGATCTACCAAACGAGGAAAGAAGCAACAAATGAGCAAAATAGGGAATATGAGCGACTACTAGGAGCAGGCACAGTAACATGAGCAAAAAATAATTTCATACTGAGGAGGAAGATAGCTAACTATAAAGAACAGAACAAAAAAAAGTAAGAGCTCTCTTGAGTCATTCAGCACAGACTTAAATAACTTTACAATCTTTAACAATCCTTCAGGCACTACTGTATAATAACATGTATAATATTTAATGTTCTTATTCTGTAGTCACTATTTAAGATTGGTAAATAAAAAAAAGATATTGGTCAGAAATATTTAACATACTTTTTTAAAAATTTTTTAAAAATTTTATTATGTTAATCACCATACCTTACATCATTAGTTTTTGATGTAGTGTTCCATGATTCATTGTTTGTGTATAACACTCTGTGCTCCATTCAATACGTGCCCTCTTTAATACCCATCACCAGGCTAACCCATCCCCCCACCCCCCTCCCCTCTAGAACCCTCAGTTTGTTTCTCAGAGTCCATAGTCTCTCATGGTTCGTCTCCCCCTCTGATGTCCCCCCCTTCATTTTTCCCTTCCTACTATCTTTTTTTTTTTTTTTAAACATATAATGTATTATTTGTTTCAGAGGTACAGGTCTGTGATTCAACAGTCTTACACAATTCACAGCGCTCACCATAGCACATACCCTCCCCAATGTAACATACTTTTGCCATATAAAAATATGCTTTAAATTTCTGGAAAATTCATCTAAAAGGAACTTTTCAATTACTGTTTGAGGAATAAATGTTACCTACCATAGATGAAAAAAGCAAATGGGAAAAAAAACTTCAAAATTAGTGAGGAATGTTTCAGAAAGTTGGAGCCAACATCCTTGTTTTTCACTGGCTTAAACTACTTCAGCAGTTTACGTCTGTACAGATGAGGTAGGTCCAAGCTCCTTGGCGTGACATACAGCCCATTTACATGATTCCTGATAAATTTCCTGACGTTCTACTCTCCAGCCACACTAAAGAGCCTGTATTTTCTTGCAAGCACCACATTCCCTCATCACTGTGCTTCTGCATATATTGCTCCTGCTGTTTGAATGCCCTTCCACTTCTATTCACTGCTATTTATCCCTCAAGAATTACTTTAGTTACTTCTTTCCTCAGAAGTATATCCTTTAACCTCTCCTTCCAACACCAGTGTGGGTTAAGTGCCTTTCTAGCTGATTCCTGTAACAATCTCCTTATTTGTGTAAATTTAAATGTAAAACATAAATCAATTTTCAATGTAAAATCTGTGATAACTGAAGAAATGATTTTGACAAACATTTCCAACTTACAGAAAATAAAAGACCCATTTATCACACGGGCAATCAGCTAAAGTCATCATTTTAAAGAAAAATTGTGGACTGTGCAAATTTTCATCCATGTGTAGATGCAAGTGTTGTACCCATTACCAAGAATTTGAAGAATGTTCAACTGAATACTTGATCTTAATGAATATAAGTGCATCTCATTCAAGAAAGCTAGAAAAGCTATGGCCCCTCATGAACCAAAAATTCTGCTCCTCAATGTTACTAAAGTCCTACTTACCAAAACCATGTGCGCTATTAGGTTGCCCCCAAGAGCTCCAAAAGTATAATATACGAGGGCCTGGGAAAGAACAAAATATGCTTAACTGAACACAGGCACACATTGACCCAATTCAAATGGTAGTATACAATGAAGTTTTAATAATATTACCTTTGCCTGACTTGAATTAACACCAAGTCCAGAAGCATAAAGAAAGCCAAGAGCCTGAAATAAAATGATAAAAGTAAGAATTCTTCCCTAGTGGAAGTTTATCCACAGACATAGTTTTATGAACAATGAAAAGATGCAAGAATCTTTAGATCTTGAAAGACTTGAACAATCCAAGTATGTATAACTGTGGTTAATTAAGGAGCCTCAGAAATGCATTCAAGGTTTTACAAATTACACAATGAAATACAACTAAACAAATCAAAAAGTTTAGCTTGAAGATTAAAGACAGCTTAATAAAATATTAATTACAAAACCAAAGCTGAACGCATTCAAGCATGGCTTTTCCTTTATCTTGATCAACAGCTATTATGAGAACCAAAAAACCCCTATATCATCACATGAACACATTACCTATCAAAGGAGAATACACAATGAAAATAGTAAGAGGCTACCAAGATAAACATCCTAGCAATAAAAAGGGGCGGCAAGGGTCATGTTGAAGGGGCAACAGAGAAAGGTCACTTTACAATGCTGAAGCACACACAATTTTTCATTACAAAAACCCCCAAAACAAAAAACTACAACCAAGCAAACAATACATTGATAAGGTTCTACCTTTGCCCACTGAGGACCGTCCTTGAAGACATGAAAGTAAAAGCTAAAGTCAGAAAGGCAGGTGTGTCATGTGCCAGCATTCATCAAAATCCATGAGCTCTTCTACATTTCCCAGCCACTCCCTGCCCCCGCCCCGCCCTCCTCCCCACCCTTGTACTTGGGTAGGGTCACGTGTTTAGGATGTGGCAAAGAGAGATGCAAGCCATTTTTAGGCCTGGCCATTAAAAACTTTACAGAAGGGGCGCCTGGGTGGCTCAGTCGTTAAGCATCTGCCTTCGGCTCAGGTGATGATCCCAGGGTCCTGGGACAGAGCCCCGCATCAGGCTCCCTGCTTGGCGGGAAGCCTGCTTCTCCCTCCCCCACTCCCCCTGCTTGTGTTCCCTCTCTCTGTCAAATAAATAAATAAAATCTTCAAAAAAAAAAAAAAAACTTCATAGAAAATCCTCCAGCCCTCTCTTCTCCCTTCATGATGGCTCGAAAGCCCGTTTCAGATGGTACAGCTATGTGACAGAAGTGGCCCTTGACTGAGTCAGCATTGGGAAGAGAGTGACATAGGCAGGGGAACTGCATCGACCCTGGTGTGAACAAGGAATAATTCTTTGTAGTGTTGAGCCAGTGTGATTCTGGGGCTATGTCTGTTACATCAGCTAGAATTAATTACCATGGAGAGAGTGCTTTGCAATATGCCATATACAGCACTATGGCATTGTGGGGTGCTATTACTAGAGGGGAAAGATGCCTTAGAAGAACACCATTCTTAGAGCCAAATGTGTCTGTAGAATAAAGAATGTATGCGTGAATTTATAAAATCTGACTTACACAAAGAAGGGGAAAAAAGCTTTGAAAACAAAGGGGGAACAATTAAGATATAACCTGTTTATAAATTAAACCAAAACTGTGTAAGAGTTGCAGACTGGGTAGATATTCAGTCCTATAGAAAACAATGGTCATGGGGCACCTGGGTGGCTCAGTTGTTAAGCGTCTGTCTTGGGCTCAGGTCATGATTCCGGAGTCCTGGGATCGAGCCCCGCATTGCGCTCCTTGCTTGGCAGGGAGCCTGCTTCTCCCTTTCCCACTCCCCCGCTCATGTTCCTGCTCTCGCTATCTCTCTGTCAAATAAATAAATAAAATCTTAAAAAAAAAAAAAGTCACAATTCCTGTTATTGTTTAAATAGTCTAAAAACAGACTTCCGCTAACCGTGACTAGAAATTTTATATTTAAGCGAATCCCACACCTCCAATAAATCTGAATTACTGAGAGCACTTAAAAATAAATGTGGTGGCCTCCTAAATCCAGGTGTCGATCTTACTATTACCCATGCGAAATCAAGCAAAGAATATTTATCAAATGGTGTGATGTGATATGGGATGCAGAACATCCCCCTATAAGGCTGTCTGAGACAAAAATACTTGACTTTAGTTCATCAGCCTTTAGCTGTGATATCTTCTATGGGAAATACAGATGATTAAGATCCCAAATAAAGGACAAAAGGAAGAAGCAAACAGACAAACTAAGAAGGCCATTTTGCAGAACAACTGGCCCTATCTCGGGCACAGACACGAAAGAAAGGCAGGGACTCTGCTAGCATTAACGACCAAATAGAAGGTGTAGTCCTGCACTGGATAGTGCTTTGGACAAAACAGGGATAAAGGAAATGTTTTGGTTCTACGCCCTATGAAGACCGTCTGGGTATTACATTTACTGGACTGGAATGATGAGGGCTATTTATCGAAAGAGCAAGGAAGGGAACAGTAGACAGTGACATCTCATTTTAATAAGAATCTCACATGTATAAATACACAAAGAGAAAGGTCAAGAAGGGTGTGCCTGCATTAACATGTTACCAATGTTCAGGTCTAGGTGGTACAGATATGATGTTTTCTTTCTTTTTTTTTTTTTTAGTTTGTATTTCTAGTTTCTTATAATGAACATGTACTGCTTCTGTAATAAAATATATCTTTTAAAAAAACACCAAGATTAACAAAAGCTGGAGCATCTGAACTTTGGAAAAAAGGCAATGGGGAGTGATTTCAGATAAAAAAATAATTACCTTTATGTTTCATTCTGTACAGATTGAATTTGGAAAACTACAAGTATAATTGTGGTAAGATGCAGCTGCAAAAATGCCCTAGGTGACCACAAGTGTTCTCACCCTGAGGAAGAAGACTGTCCGAGAAGATTGGTAAAATGATCTGCCGCAGGATTAGTATTTAAAGCCATTTTACCTTCCAGCCTTACTTGTTCAGGGAAGGCAGTGCATAAAGAGTAAACTACTGTGAAAATAAACAAGTGCTATGTGCCAAGAGATTCTGCAATGAAAGTACACTTACAGTTTGTCCCTTAGGAGAGCCTTCCTCAGTCAGTTTCTCAAACATCTCTTTAGCTGCCTGGATATTCTGTGTCAGGTAATCACCAAACAAAAGAGCATATGACACTCTCTCCACGGCCTTGGTATGATTCATGCCTGCTGCCTTTTGAAGATACCGATATGCTCTTTAAACATAAGCAATTAAAACAAAAACAAACACATTAGCAATATTTTGGAACTCCCATTAAAATTTTTACAGAATCTGGGGTGCCTGGCTGGCTCAGTTCGAAGAGGGTATGACTCTTGATCTCAGGGTCGTGAGTTTGAACCCCATTTTGAGTGCAGAGATTACTTAAATAAAAAAAAAACAAAATAATTTTTTTTTTCTTTTACAAAATCTACTAAAATGCAGAATAAACAATTTTCTTATTCTACAGAATCCCTCTGATATTTGATTTCCACTAAATTATGTTACTTATATATGTAGAAAACATTCTGGGCTACTTTTCTTTTTATGTAAGGTACCAGTTCTGTTATTCCAATATTTTAGAACTGTCTAAGAATGAGAAAGAACTATAATAATGTAGTATCTAATAAATAATCCAATGATAACCACTGCAATTTTCTTTTAAAATCTTTGCACACACTATAACAAAAGTCAGCTGAAATTAAGGGACATAAAATGTTAAAAGACAGTCAACTGAACTTTATGTTCTTTCCAAATTCCTAAATTCTAGTGTTTGTCTGCAAGATAATTACAAAGCAAAAACAAAAAAACACCTGACAACTCCTTTTATGTCATTTTGAATTCTGAATAGTACACTTATTCTTGGCTCTTAGAAACTATTATAATTTTAATTATTTCCATTTTGCTTATTGTTCATTCTTGTGATGAGTATTTATAATCTTTTTAGCCCGAAGAGCTGAAATCTGATAGAAGTAATGCCCCAATGTCTATAGGTCATATCAGGTTTTCTTATAATACAGCCTAAAAAAATCCTCCGTCTTCGGCAGTGCACTTAAAAAACAAGTACTTAGTGCTTTTTATCTCAGTAATGGCCTATGTCAGGGGAAGAATGGACTGGCAGTGCTACCTACTCTCTTTTCTGGCTTTTCTTGTTGCTTCCGTTGAGGATTTTCATCCCTGTCTGGTACATCATTTCCGCTTCCTGCATTTGCCGCCGTTTAGTGGCTTCTTCTTCAGCTAAAAACAAAACGTCAGATGCTTTTAAATTGATTTTAATTTTAAACCAATTATTTATTAAACATCAGTATATATTCTTTCTTCTGGGTAGTTACCAATACAGTGATATGTCACTATTTCCCAGTCTGATTTTAAGAACACATGCTTTTATGTGTGGCCTTATCTGACTAAAGTTAAGACTTTTTTAAAAAACAGTAAAACTCATTAAAATCACTTCCTTGTAAAGAAAGCTGTTATCAACCTGTTTTTGGAAAGTGCTTTTCTGCTAGTAATTCTAAAACTTTTTATATAAGTCAACTAAAATTTCAGTAGAGCCTTATTATTATATGCCAAGGTGAGCTAAAACTAAAGGACAAGAGAACAATAAAAAAACAATAGTTAGGGGTGCCTGGGTGGCTCAGTTGCTAAGCATCTGCCTTTGCCTCAGGTCATGATCCCAGAGTCCTGGGATCGAGTCCCCGCATGGGGCTCCCTGCTCAGCAGGAAGGCTGCTTCTCCCTCTCCCACTCCCCCTGCTTGTGTTCCCCCTCTCGCTACGTCTCTCTGTCAAATAAAAAAAAAATCTTTAAAAACAAAACAAAACAAAAAATAGTCAGAAAAAATACTGTTGTAGTCAAAGGACACTTTAGCCTTACCAGAAAGGCTGTGTCTTTACAAGGAGAAAATAAGTGACTAATTACATAATGAAAAATTAGCTGAAAAAAAGGATTTTCATTAAATACAGATTTTGATTTAATAGTCAAATTCTGTTTTTTCCTATGTACTGATACAACATTGAAAATCATAGCATTAGATTTCCCCAAAATTATTTTGCTGTTAGAAAGCATTTTAACAGAAATCTAAAACTCATCAAGAGACATTTGAATATTTCATTAGGAGTTATTTATAGAAATAGAAGTGACTACTTCTTGTAATATAAAAACAAAATTTGATGTATTAAACAGGAGTACCTAATTGTACTGGCCCACACCCAAAGATGGACTATATTTGACTATCTCTAAGGAATGCCCAAATATTCTATCAGAGCCATTATTTTCAAAATGTCATCTGGTATCAAAAGAGGTATGTTCAAGGTTCTCTTTGTTCTTTAACAGTTAGAAAGTTCTTCCCAAAAACATAGCTTGCCTTCAGAGGCAATATTGACATTAACATTTAGGGCAGTTAAATATACTGTATCTGTCAAATATTACCTTAGCACAGCACATTTCACTCAAAGTATTTTAAAAAGGTATTATCTATTTTTCTTCTAAGTACTATTAATTAACCTCAGCATAATGTTCTGTTTTTCTTTATTGCCAAAAAACGTTTTACATTAATTAATTTAGCAGCCTGCCTGAGGGTTTACAGAACAACCTGTGCAGAGCAACAGAAAATCATCTCTAAATAAAACATGAGTGTGATAAGCTGGCCAAGTGATAGCCCGGAAGTGAGTATACTGTATGCTTCCTGCTCTTAAGTCCATTCTTTAAGACTATATCTATGTCATTGACGGGGACCACTTCTGACCAAGGTGGGGAAAGGATGGCTAGAAAAAGGCCTTAAAAATGTTGTCTGAGACATAAAGCAATGTGGACATGCCTCCAACTGAGCAATACTTACTTTCACAAAAGCCCCACTTTTCATCTGCCTTGTAGTCATAGGTTGTAGCACACCACAATCTACCATCTTCCCTCCCATCTGATGTACATTCGTCATATTCCTTATCCAGGAACAGAAAAGGGAAGTGGCAGGGCTCCCCATGTGCTGTGCCTTCAATGGCGGTCAGAGCTGAAAAGATAAGAAAAAACTCTAAACATGAATAGCACCTCTGGTATCCATGGATTTAATACTGTCAATTCTAATGATCAGAATTTGAAGACAAAAATACATGATTTGAAATGGGGAACATGAAAGAGTCAGCATCAATTTTCTTTAGGATGACTTAAGGATAGGTCAACTTAGTGAACATGGCTGGCTTAGTGTACAAGGCAGCTCTGTATCTACCTTAGAATTTCTGAAGGTCTTAAGATCTGATAAAGCTTAGGGGCGCCTGGGTGGCTCATTCATTAAGCATCTGCCTTCGGCTCAGGTCATGATCCCAGGGTCCTGGGATCGAACCCCACATCAGGCTCCCTGCTCAGCAGGAAGCCTGCTTCTCCCTCTCCCACTCCCCCTGCTTGTGTTCCCTCTCTCGCTGTGTCTCTCTCTGTCAAATAAATAAAATCTTTATAAAAAAAAAGATCTGATAAAGCTTAGAATGTTAGAAGTCTACCGTAAAACTCCTGGCTAACTAGCAAGCAAAAAATAAGGCACATGCAACCAGATCAATTCCACTGCTCAGCACAATTCCCCTCTTTTCTATCTGAATGTTGTAAGTCAGTTTCTTTAACAGTATAAAGCTATACAGGGAAAATGCTCCCCCAGGTAAAGTTCATCACTCACGCACACCTTAGCATTTTATCCGAGCAGGTATGATATCTGCTGAGGTTCTTTCTTTACCATACTCCTGTCCCACTAGACCCTGAGCTTGTTAAAAGTAGAGACCATATCTCTAATTTGTTCTTAAGCTCTTTCTATCTTCTAGGTGCTGGGAATTATGCCAGGTGCTGGAAACAAGGTGGAACAGAGGTCTCGGCTCTATACAACTTAGCACCTCGCAAGGAAGGGAGATATTAACAAAAGTGTGATCGATGTTACAGAAAGGAAAACCTCCCCTGTTGGGAACTGAGGTTTACCACTGAACTTCACGTGCGTGTAGGAGTAGAGGGTGGATGAATTGCTTCAGGGTAGGGTGGCAGAAGTACTTTAGACAGAGGGAACCATGTGTGCTAAGAATCAAATGAAAGACAGGATAGCACTTTAGAAAAAAATACAAGAAGTTTAATACGTTAGAACATGCAGTGTGAGTGCCCAAGTGGACAAGAGGCTAAAGCTAGAGCAGCACAAAGAAGGTAGACTATGAATGTCCTGATAAATCTGATTAAGGAGTTTGGACTTTATCCTGAGAACGATGGAAACTCACTTAAGAGTTTTAAACAGGAATGATATGATCATACTTACATTTTTATTCAGAGAGTGGACAACGGAATGGAGAAAAGGCTGGATGCAAGGTGACCGGTTTACAAGTTGTGACATTAGTCTAATTGAGAGGTAATGGTAGCCTGAAGAGGATAATGGAATGAAAGAAGTGGATGTACTCAACTGATGCTAAGGAAGTAGATATGGCACCACTTCCTGATCGACTAGATGTGCAGATGACAGGGGAGGAGTCATGGAAGGCTCCCAGGTATTAGGGCTTCAGGAAGTGAGGGGATGGCTGCCTTACTAGGAGAACACTAAAGGTGGAGTAGGTTACTGGGTAGGGATGAAACGGATCAGGGTAGAGACAAGTTAAGCTTTGATCCTGCTACATTCAAAGTGGTTTTAACAAACAAAACCAAAAACAAGATGTCTTAGACATCTTTTCAGCTGTGGTCAAAGAGGAAGTTCTCCAGTTCACAGACTGGAAGCCAAGAGTACACATAAGAGTACCAAATGAGAAGTACATGAGAAGACCAGAGAGCCACTGTTGAGCCCAGAACCATACATGGTTAAGTGTGAGTACATGTCAACTTCCATGGGTTGCTTTTACATGGAGAATGTAATTAGGCATCAGAGCTTAGTGATTAAGAGTACAGATTCTGGAGACAGAATGCCTGATGCAAACCCTACCACTTACTAGCTGTACACTTTGAGCAAATTCGTTAATCTCTCCCCTTATCTGTAAAATTATCTGCAGATAACTTCTTTATCTACAAATAGGGATAAGAGTCCTTGCTGCAGAGCGTTACTCACAAAGATGAACTGAAATAATAGACCTAAAGGACCCACCATGGTGTGTGCCACGTAAGGTAATAGGCCTTCAAGAGATGACACTGCTACTATCACAGGAGCTCCTGCTCTGAAAGCGCAGGAAATGGACACTCCTTCTTGCCCGTGCAAAGAAGAATTCATACTAATTTGAAAACTATTTTCAGTAAGTTATGAAAGGCAAAATTAATTTCAAACTGTTTGCCACCAGGTAAATGTCATTCACCATCCTGGTAATCACTGACCAGAGGTAAACACTTTAATCTGTCTGTGTTTATAAGAAATGATCTTTAGTACAAAAAAGCAAAGTACCCTTTAGCAACCACCTCAGAGGGGTCATTTTAACCAGAGTTTGAAAAACAGCTCTCCTATATGCACTGCTACTAGATTCAGATTTGCTTGAGAAAAATAGTACCTGTAAAATAGCAGTTTGTAAATCTGAATTTCAAATTAAAATAGTTTAAAAGAATATTTGGTTTTTTTAAAAGATTTTATTTATTTATCAGAGAGATGCGAGAGAGGGAACACAAGCAGGGGGAGTGGGAGAGGGAGAAGCAGGCTTCCCACTGAGCAGGGAGCCCGATGAGGGGTTCGATCCCAGGACCCTGGGATCATGACCTGAGCTGAAGGCAGATGCTTAACGACTGAGCCATGCAGGTGCCCCAATTTTTTTTTGATAATAGAAATTTTTGTCTTAAAAAAAAAAAAAATTTTTGTCTTATAAACAAATAGCTTGACGTAAGAATCCTAGTTTGCCAAAACTTTCTAAGTGGTGCAAATATAAGAAAGGATTCTCTTTCATGTGATGGAACTATACAGCGGCAAAGAAACTGGAAAGAATGCAAAGGTTTTTGGCAATAAAAGGTTTTAACCTACTGCTGATTAGCACTAACTTAAGTAGGAAGAATCGCCAGGTGCCATGCTTCACCAATTTAGTGAGAGTGAATCTTGGTCTACATAATGTGTTTATTAGTAAGTAACTAGAAAGACAATTTATATCAGGTACCTTCTCCAAGCAAAATCACAACAGGGAAATTGCTACTGCCAGTTCCAAGTCAATTATCTCAAGTAGATAGTCCTCACAATAGTGTTAATTTCAGTTAATTTTCTTTTCATGGAGAAATTCTGCAAGAATTTCAAAGCTATCGTTTTAAAAACTGCCACAAAAATAGTACCACCTTTAAAAACCATGGTAATCACTGCTCTGGCACAATGAAGTGACTGATTATGCAATTTAAGTTCACGATAGCCAGTAGTCAAACCTGGCTCTAAAAATGAAAGCGGGAAAAATGTGTCATTAAGTCAATTTTGCACCTTCCTGTAAAAACTCACAGTTCTAGATAAGGAATCATATTTTGACCCTACAATAATGACACAATACCACAATCTATTTAAACCTTGACAGTAAGATTTTTACAACTTATGTTATATGAGAATTTGTAATAATTAACAGACCACTTTATATTTAAACTAGTAAAGAATTGCTCTTGCAAAGTCAGTAAAAATCATCCAAGAAAGCTAGAAAAAGTTAAAAAAAAAAAAAAAAAAGAGGACAACCCAAACAATAACCCCAAATCTGAAGTCATTCAGTGCTGGCCAGATTATAGGTAAATGGGGACTTTCATACTGCTGGTAGGAATATCAGTTAGTACAACCTCTTAAAGAGGGACCCTTAGGAATACCTATTAGAATTTATACAGTCCATACTTTGGATCATATTTTTCCACTTCTAAGATGTTTAACTTGTAGAAATGCTCCCATAAGGATACAAAGAGATACGTGTAAGACTGTATTTGTGTATAAAGATATAAAACCAACAAGAACTCAAAGGTCTGTCAACAGGAGACTGGTTAAATCAGCTACAGTGCAGCCATTACACAGAAACCTGGTATAGACAGGAGCAGAGGATCAAAAGACTGGGTGTCAGGGCAACCTTGTATTTCAAGATCTGGCAGATTCCAGAAAACCAACAGCTAAGTGATGAAAGCATCTTCAGAGTAGGAAAAAATATGTGAGAGGTCAGAAAGATGAGGAACAAGAACTGACCAAGAATTCAGCAAAGAGGGCGCCTGGGTGGCTCAGTTGGTTGAGCGACTGCCTTCGGCTCAGGTCATGGTCCTGGAGTCCCGGGATCGAGTCCCGCATCGGGCTCCCTGCTCGGCAGGGAGTCTGCTTCTCCCTCTGACCCTCTTCCCTCTCGTGCTCTCTATCTCTCATTCTCTCTCTCAAATAAATAAATAAAATCTTAAAAAAAAAAAAAGAATTCAGCAAAGAGAATGTGACTGGAGCAGAATGGATTTAGAGGTCTTGAGGGGACCAGAGCATCCTGAGAGTTGGATGAGAGAATGGGAAGAGAGGAAGTGAAATTAGTGAATACAGACAATTCTTTCAAAGAACGATACTATTAAAGGGGTGTAGGGAAGCAGGGTGGTTGCCGGAGGGGGTTTTGGTTTTTAAAATATAAGCTATTACAGGATGTCTGATGCTATGGAAAGAATCCAAGAGAGAGGGAACAGTGTAAACGTTGCCATATGAACTGAATAAAATGTCCTGGAATTGTGACACTATCTTTTCCTCATTTTCTAATGGTAAAATAAAAAAAAACAACCCCAAAAAGTCAACTTCATGATCCATAAAAACAAAGGCAAGGGACTAATTAGCTTTGCAAATTTCTCATCTTAGGAGCTTTTACACTGCCAAAAAAGTCTGATATTGTACCTCTAAGTTTAGATGAGTGTTAATAAGAAAACTAATCATGCTGCTTGTTTGAAGCAATTTTGTACTTCTAAACATACAATGGTAAGTAACATTTTGGTAAAATGTATTTGTAGTAGAAAATAGTTGAAATACAATCATTTAATGTTAAAAAGCTATCAACCTCACCAACTGTCGTACAGCGTTCAATTTTAGTCAACACCAAGATAAAAACTCAACCAACA